CCCACAACAGTTCCATTTTCACCGCTGAAACCAAAGCTATCTTCTCAGCTTTGACCTACATTCAACAGCAAAATCAGTCCTAAAACTTCATCGTTTTTACAGATTCATTATCCTGCCTTCAAGCACGTCTAAACGTGACTTCAAGTCACCCAATCATCCTCGACATACTAGAACTGTACAACGACCTTTCTACTGGCCAATATGACATCGTCCTCTGCTGGTTGCCGGGTCACGTCGGCATAGCAGGTAACGCTAAGGCCGATGCTGCAGCAAAAGCAGCTCTTGAAAAGCCCCTATCTCCACTGCTAATCCCCTACAGTGATTTCAAACCCACTATCAAAAGCTATACTCGGGACCTGATGCAAAAAAGGTGGGACACTCAAGTAGGAAGAAACAAACTCCATGAATTGAAGCCAACAATCGGTTATACCTACTTGGGTTGCCAGTCAAGACGTGATGAAGTAATTTTACGACGATGTCGTATTGGCCACAGTCGATTTACACATGACTATCTGCTAAAAACGGATGGGGATGGACCCCCCATATGTCTCTCCTGCGATGAGCTTTCACCGTCAAGCATATTCTGCTTGACTGTGTGGACTTTACATCTGCAAGGGACTCGCATTATCACGCAACCAATCTGAAAGATCTGTTCTCCAGCATGAGCGCTCATCTGATACTGAACTACCTGAGGGAAGTTGATCTATATCATAAATTGTAACTGTGTAATGTCACTAACGAATTTACCTGCTTTTCAATTTAGTGCTATGACATTCTTTGTTCCAAAATGACAATGTAACGAATGTGTGTCTTTGAAACGAAACCACTTTGTACTTACAATGTATATTAATGCAGACTTGTTCTCGTCACTATATGGCTGGAATAATGCCGATGTGACGTAAAGCCCAACTCAACTCAACTCTGAAGCTGCAAGTCATGACCTCGAACAAGAAGATCATTAATGACTGAGGAGAAGTACCTAGTATGCAGTACTGAGCCAAGGGAGCAGTCAGTAGCTGTGAGTGGACTGTGATTACTCAGTATGTGACCCATGCACTTGACAAGTAGAAGGACAGCGAGAAACAGAAGGTGGAACATTAGGTGGATGGGTAGTACGTACATCACATATCTCTACTGAAGCCTTATCAGGTCGAGGAGAAACAACAATACTTCCCGCAACGGTAGACGTGTAAGATGGAGCAGGAGTGACCTTAACAATGCGAGTAATTTCCGCATATGGCACTTCTTTTTCCACTCTAACTATCCATTACATCTTGTACATGCAAGAGGTTTTACCTCAAAGATATGTGGTCAAATTGTTGCTAACTGTAGCATCTAACTGACGGTGATACGTAAAGGCGGGCACGAAATGATTGAAAATACATTTCTATGCGCTCAGGAAGACAAGGAGTATCATATGTCAACAACACATGACTTTCTGCCCTTTTATCTCATCACCAATTTCGTTACATCAACATCATAGTCAACGTTTTAAATAATGCATTTGCTTTCATTCAAGCTCTTTAGGACACATCCGCTGGTGGCGAACACTGGTGGCGAAGCTTTTCTCCTGTTGTGTTTATATCATGGTTTGCGCATCACCGAGAGGCTTCACAAACATTCCTTGATGTTCCACATATATATGGCTCGACGTGGCGCCTAGTACTTACATAATCCTTCAAAAGGCGCAATAATTAGGTTCTCCAATGCAAAACTGAAAGTGCATAACGCTTATTGTACGCTTGGAGATACACTACCTGATTCTACGGTACATTCAGTATGGTATGACACTGCTAATGTATAACCATTCCAGTACAACAAGAGGTGAAAGGTACTGTTGGAGCGTTTAACAAAATATTAACACCTAACGATCTGTAGGATTTAACAGCTATGATCTTCATCCAATGTCAAGCGTGAAATTATTACTCGGAATGATACTGATGTCCCCATGGTCCCTAGTATGGTGATCTACCTTCGGTTGTTGGCAATCTATACCCTGTTTTTATATTGTATTGTCATGTAGGCTTAATTTTTTTTAAATATATTACTAGTTTTACGTATTTATCTATGAGTGTCTAGTTGTTTTACTGTCCTTCGTTGGCAGGTTTTTATACTTTACCTATAATTATTATTAATATATAACTTGATGTAGTCACGATATGGCTAACATACTGCCGATGTGACTTAGAATCTTAACTCACCCACTCACTCAGAATGATACTGAAAACCAATCTCTATGGATATGGATTACACTTTGACATCGAGAATCAACATGCCGATGTGTTGGAAGGCACACAAAGATAGTTAGCACGCTTTTTACAGAGTCTTGATAAGATCCTTCAGAATCCACCATTGCGAATCGTCGGAGGGTCACAATATATGTGATGACAAATTCGAACTTCTATATCCTGATCCTCTTACACAACATCAAATGTCATAACTAGGCAGAATATGTTCTTGGAACGTATTTCATCGGTATAGAACTTTAAACATAAGATAACTACTACATATTTTATATTTCTGATTACATTTTATCAGTGAAGCACAGATTCTAGTTCGTTCTGGGGTTGAGTCCCATCCAGGAATCAAACCCTCTTTCAGAATGAGGCACTTAATCATCAGCGATTCACTGATTGCAAATACCTGTAAGCAGTTGTCATATGTTCAGTATCAGGTACGTATTGTTGTATTTGTTTTATCGTGCCTGGAATTGTAGCCACGTACATTACGTATTGTTGTATTTGTTTTATCGTGCCTGGAATTGTAGCCACGTACATTACGTATTGCCTCAGGTGAGATGGAAGTCACATGATCAATTACAATCTTCAAAAGGATTTTCTCAAGTTTTAATGATTCTAAAGTGACAATTTAAGGGATTAATTTAAACCTGTCACAACGGCTCAAGTGACCAAATCAGGTTCTTTCACCGAAACGATGCTCATTCCAATAAACAAGAAGGCTGTCATTATTGACTCACCAACTACTAGAATGCCGATCACACAACGTTCATAGATACGATATGGCTGGAAATGTTGTCGATGTGATATTATATTTTAACCCACTCACTAACTCACAAATGAACAGGGTTCTTACCTTGACTTCCACGCATGAAAAATAAATAAAAACAAATAGTAGCAGAAATTACCTTCTTTCTTTTGATCAGTGACGAACCTGAAAATAAAATGAACGTTTGTGAAAATACCATCACCAACTGCTCATGTTCAGATGCATGGACTCATTTTATGATAAATTCAAAAGTTCAACAAAGTTTAAAAATGTCAAGTTCACAAAGTATAAACACGTATTAAACTTTATGATCAATAAATTTTGCTGGAGTACAAACGCTTTGGACCGTGCACGTTCCGGTTGTTACACCATACTAGCTTCACGGCGCAAAGAGTTTGTACTCAAGTTAACCGTATTGCGACATTCATCTCTCAATGATGATATCAAGAGGAAAATTATACATTCTTGCGTTTTTGTGCCTTCATCATGCATCTACTCCAAGGTAATGTTGATCCTCCCTCTGCCATAACGGTAGTTGTCCCTAGTATGGTGATCTACCTTCAGTTGTTGGCTTGTATAGTTAAAACGTTTTAAATTTAATTATTAGTTTTTAAATTTACATCTGTGATAAACTAGTTGTTTTACTGTCCTTCACTGACAGTATTTTTTAATAATTTAACTCACTCACTATAAATATATAACTTGATGTAGTCACAATATGGCTGAAATACTGCCGATGTGACTTAAAATTTTAACTCACTCACTAAAATGTTTTAGTTTTACATGCTAGTTTTAAATTAAGAGGTGTGACAATTAGTATTTTTACTGTCTTCCGATGGCAGGTTTTTACGTTCTAGATTTGTTGCTTTTAACATTGATATAAATGAATAATTATTGTTCTAGTCACGATATGGCTGAAATATTGCCGATGTGACGCTAAATATTAACTCACTCACAACTGTAGTCTGTGATGTTTGATCTTTATGTTGACTGCTATAGAATATATATAGACGTATATATGGCAATAGAGGTGTATATGGTGACCAAACATTATATTATTTACGAAGCTGTTGAATTACCTTCGCTACAGTTGGTGATAAGGATACATTCTTCCAGGTCAAACATGGTTGTGGTCCTTGGAAATCCTTTCTGAGAAAAAAATACATTATGTTGTTGTCCACCTTGCCATTTGTCTCACACTAAGCGATAATGTTGTGATAGGACTGGAATTCCGTTGAAAACTTTAATACACGTTACATAATCTTGATCGATATGGTTTCAGTTCAGAAATTATTTTCATACATGCCTATACCAACTGTCCATACGACAAAAACATATACTGATGAGCGAATCATCATCCGGTGATGAGCATGAATTGGACATCTTGTCACCCATTAACTCGACGGCCCTATGTACGGGGACGACATCTATTTCTGGGCCACGGCTTTTGGGTGGCTCAAATCATCTTCGCCACATCTTCTACCGACTGTTTTCATCTGGGACAGCTTACATGACTCAAAAGGGAAACCATCAAAGAGTGATTGAGTTTAGTTTTACGCTTCACCCAGCACTATTCCAGCTATATGGCGGCGGTCTGTAAATAATCGAGTCAGGACCAGACAATCCAGTGATTAACAGCATGAACATCGATCTACACAGATTGGATACGATGACATGTGTCAACCAAGTCAGCGATCCTTGCCACCCGATCCCGTTAGTCGCCTCAGCAAGCATGGGTAACTGAAGATCAGTTCTAACCCGGATCTTCACGGGTCGATTCTGGTTTGGCTCCAGATGAAGCAGAAACGTTATGACCAAACAAAGCGAATTGTATGCCGCTAAGAATTTTATAGAGCTTGTCAACCTAATCCACAACGGGCATGGGCACCCGTGAAGAGCCACCTCCTCGTGGTGGGTGCTGGGTAACGCTAAGCGCTCTTCGACCCCCCGTTGTGGACCCGGGGGGATATTTGGTCCACCAACCCGTTTGCCGTGGGTTGTGCCCTGTGTCGGTGGAGGACGGGATTCTGGTGGTTGAGGGCAATAGGATCCTGGAACCGTGTTCCTTTTGCCCAACACACCACTTTGGCCCTTACTTCACCTAGACGGGTGGTAGAACTGGCCCGGTTCTACCAATCGGCTGGTCACGCCAAGCCCTGTGCATGGTGAATATTTTTTGCACATTTTAGTCATATTTGGGTGTTGGCATTTTCAATTTCCAATTTACAAATTATCAATATATTACAATGCCTAGAGTCCTGTGCCAGAAGGCGGTGGCTCATGGGCCAATCTGTTGATGTTGACCTCCAAATTCAGTATGTGTCCAATTTCTTGTCATGTGCAAGAACCAGCCTGATATTTAATTGGTATACAAATATTGCTATTTGTGTCATACTCGCTGGAGTATAACATCCCTGTATCCCTGGTGTCGGCATCTTGGAGATCCGGTGCTATTTGACATCGTCCTTGTTGACGCTCCATGGTGGGTGGGGAACAGGGGTGCTGAATCTTTTTTCCTTTCATCATGTCAACCCAACAAACTGGTTCAAATCGCAATGAAAAAAAGAGACGACTAGACGAACTAGATCGTTCAAATGAAACAAATCCTTCAAACGTTGATTCATGGCCTCGGTTTCTTGTGATTGAAGCTACAGACTTTCTGCCGATCAAATTAAACCCGTTTGCCATTTCCAAGGCTATTTCCGGAATTTGTGGAGAGGTGCAAAATGTTACCCGTCTCCGTAGTGGATCGCTTCTTGTGGAGTGTGCAAGGAGACAGCAATCTCTCAATTTGTTGTCAGTCAAGATTTTTGCCAATATCGAGGTTGCTGTGTCCGTGCACAGAACGTTAAACTCTTGCCGAAGTATCATACGAGACAGGGCTCGTTGTCTCTATGATATGTCAGAAGAGGACATAGCTGCAGAGCTTGAAAATCAAGGTGTCACAGCGGTAAAACGTTTCACTTTTAAGAAAGAGGGCATCATCACTAAAACGAACACCTATCTGGTGACCTTTTCTCGATCTTCCCTTCCAAACTCTATTAAAGCAGGTTATTTTAACATCGGGTGGATGTGTATGTCCCCAATCCGCTCCGATGTTACAAATGTCAACATTTCGGTCATGGATCTCAGTCATGTCGAAACTCGCGTGTCACCGTTGTGGTGACAACCATTAGAATACCACCGACTGTCAGAAAGATTATAAATGTGTCAACTGTAACGGTCCACATTCTACGTCATCCAAGTCCTGCCCTGTCTACCAAAGGGAGATACAAATCATGAAAATTAAAACTGAAAAACACATCTCGTACTTTGATGCCAAAAAACTATGGAGTCACCATTCCACAGCTCCGTCAACTGTCACATACTCTGCTGCTGTCACTCGTTCTGCAGAAATGTCCTCTACTGCATGTCAGACTGACTTGACTTGGGTCAAGTCAGCTCAACCTATTCCTTCAACTTCAGCCCCGAAACCAACTACACCAGTAACTCAATCTTCGTCTAGTTCTCAGACAGAAGAATCTGATCCCGAGACACCGTCAAAAAAGTCTGTATCAAAACCAGCGAGCAATCATTACAAAAAGAAGAAAGGAAAGCAATTAACAAGAGACAAACTACATACTGTCCCTTCACCTTCAGAGGTTCCAACACAGAACACATTCGGGCCTCTTGATATGGAGATTACACTGTCCTCACAGGACAAGAGGAGAAATAGTTCCTCCTCACATTCCCGTGAACGATCGCCAATTGAGCCACCATGACTCAATTGTCGACCTTAATGCAATGGAACTGCAGAGGACTAAAAAATAACTTTAATGAGATACAATTATTAATACAAGATTTTAAACCTTCAGCATTATGTCTACAAGAGACATATTTAAAAAGTACAGATAACTTTATTTTAAGACAGTATAGTGATTATCACTCTTTTTCACCTCCAGGAGAAAAAGCAACAGGAGGTGCATCCATTTTGGTACGACAGGGTATAATACATAGCCCTGTCCCTCTTAATACCAATCTCCAAACTGTAGCTGTTCGTATTACACTGCACATGGCACTCACGTTGTGTAGCTTGTATATCCCCCCGTCTTCTGATATTCGACAGTCGGATCTTAAGAATCTATATGATCAGCTTCCAAAGCCATGTCTCATCATGGGAGATCTGAACGCTCACAACCCGCTTTGGGGAAGTGACCATACTAATACTAAAGGTAAAATCCTTGAGGATTTTATTTCCGATAATCACCTATGTATATATAACGATGATTCTCCCACTTACCTACATCCAGCTACGGGAACATATTCTTCCCTGGATCTGTCAATTGCCGACTCCAGTTTGTATAATGAATTTGAATGGGTGGTCCATGATGACCTATGTGGGAGTGATCACTTCCCAACCATTCTCAAGACATTCAACCCTGGTGATCATCCACCTTTATCGAGAAGGAACTTTGCCAGGGCTGACTGGTTATTATATGAGACTCTGTGTGCTGAACACTTAACTCATGATCGTTTTATGAACAGTGAAGATCCTATTCAGTCGTTTTCCGATATCCTTAATGGCATTGCTGACAGAACAATTCCTCAGTCCTCTGCAGTTCCACATATTCGTAAACCATGGTTCAATAACGAATGTAAACAGGCCAGAAAGTGTAGGAAGAAAGCAGAAAAATATTTTCGCCGACATCCTACTGTCCATAATTTAGATAAAGTTAAAATGTTAAATGCCAAGGCTCGACGCGCTTTTAAACAGAATAAGCGTCAGTCTTGGCGAAACTATGTTTCCAAATTAAATTCACGCACACCGATTTCAAAGGTGTGGAACATGATACAAAGAATAAAGGGCAAAGGTTCCAAATCTACTGTTCACCATTTAAAGGATGGTGATAATTTGTTAACTGGTAAGGCTGACATTGCCAATAAGCTTGGTGAAACTCTCGCCAAACATTCGTCTTCATCCAATTATGTCCCTGAGTTTCAGAAACATCAGAAACAACAGGAGAAGAAAAGAATAAATTTTACCTCAGACAATGGAGAAGACTACAATGAATTATTTTCAATACATGAGTTACGTACTGCCCTTGAGCAAGCTCATGATACAGCAACAGGGGCTGATAATATACACTATCAGCTCTTGAAACATTTACCTGAATCATGTTTAGAAACACTTTTAAATATTTTTGATACAATATGGGCCTCAGGGAATTTTCCAACTTCGTGGCGTAAAGCCATAGTAGTACCTATACCAAAGCCTGGCCGGGATCATACTGATCCGTCAAATTACAGACCAATCTCTTTAACGAGCTGCGTCTGTAAAACCATGGAACGAATAGTAAATAATAGATTAACATGGTATCTTGAAACCAATAATCTCATAACAAATATTCAATGTGGTTTCAGGAAAAATCGTAGTACCATTGATCATTTGGTACGTTGAGAATCCTTTGTAAAAAATGCAATAATAAATAAACAACATGCAGTATCGATATTCTTTGATCTTGAGAAAGCATACGATACCACCTGGAAGCATGGCATTTTAAAGGATTTACACGATTTTGGTTTAAGGGGTCGTTTACCTCTTTTTATATCACAGTTTTTAACAGACAGGCAATTTCAAGTCCGAGTGGGTTCAACCCTGTCTGACCATTATAATCAGGATCAGGGTGTCCCACAAGGCAGTATTCTGTCTGTCACTTTATTTAGCATTAAGATCAACAGCTTATCCAAGGTTTTAAACGATTCAATTGATGGATCACTTTTTGTGGATGATTTTAACATTTCTTGTCGCGGTAAGAATATGCATACTATTGAACGGCAACTACAGTTGTGTTTAAATAAAATACATAAATGTGTCTTGAAAACGGCTTTAAATTTTCTAAATCAAAAACTCATTGCATACACTTCTGCCGTAAATATAAACCACATAAAGACCCAAAACTGTTTTTAAATGGCACTCCCATCAAGGTTGTAAAAGAGGCCAAGTTCTTAGGTCTCATTTTCGACTCCCATTTAACTTTCCTTCCGCATATCAAATCTCTCAAAACTAAATGCCTGAAGGCACTTGATTTATTGAAAGTCGTGTCTAATTCAAGGTGGGAAGGGGATCAAGCTACGCTCCTACACCTTTACAGATCACTTGTCCGCTCGAAGCTTGATTATGGCTCCATCGTATATGGTGGAGCCTGTAAAAGCAACCTAAAACTCTTAGATTCAGTCCACCATCAAGGTCTGAGACTTTGTCTTGGGTCCTTCAGAACTTCTCCTGTTGACAGTCTTTACGTCGAGGCAGATGAACCTTCTCTTAACGAACGCCGTATAAAATTATCTTTACAATATATTACAAAATTATATTCTAACGAGTCTAATCCTGCATTTCACTGCATCTTTAATCCTCTTTATGAGGATTTGTACAACAAGAAATCTTCTCTTGTTCCGCCTCTTGGACTCAGGATTAAGCCATTCATTACCGCTGCCGGCATTGCATGAGCTGGAAGATATAGCTCCTTCCCGACGTCTTTCTTCTCCTCCTTGGCAATTGGTTAGACCACAAGTTGACCTAACATTAACATCGTTTAAAAAATCAGAAACTAACGACTTACAATATAAACAAGAATATAATCAATTAAAAAGTAAATACAATACATATAAATCCTTATTTACAGATGGGTCCAAGGATGGTGGCGCGGTTGCTTGTGCCACTGTCTTTGGGTCCAAAACAATATCTTCCAGATTACCCAATGACAGTTCAATTTTCACAGCAGAAGCGAACGCAATACTAACAGCTCTTAAATATATTGATAAACACCGTAAATATAAACAATATATCATCTTTTCAGATTCTCTTTCGTGTCTTCAGGCTATTAAAAGTCTTTCTTGCAAACATCCACTTTTATTAGAAATTATTGAATTGTACAATGAACTTGCTACTGGCCAATGCGACATCGTCTTTTGTTGGTTACCCAGCCACGTTTGCATTTCTGGGAACACAATGGCTGATATTGCTGCTAAGGCAGCACTCAACAAATCTGTGACACCACTTCTTATCCCATACTCTGATTACAAAGCTGCTATAAGATCTTATATCCGTGATCTGATGCAATAGAAGTGGGACACCCAAGTAGGTATAAATAAATTAAATGAAATAAAACCCTTTATCGGTTACACTTACTTGGGTTGTCAGTCCAGATTTGAAGAGATCATCATACGACGATGTCGTATTGGCCACACTAGATATACGCATGAGTACCTATTAAAAGGTGAAGATCCTCCGTTTTGTATCCCTTGTGATGAACGAATCACGGTCAAGCATGTCTTGCTTGACTGTGTTGAGTACTCCATCACAAGGGATATCTATTTCAAATCCCGATCTATGAAGGATCTTTTTACTAATATAAGTCCTCATTTAATTATTGCTTTTTTAAAAGAATTAAATTTGTTAACAGATTTGTAAATAGCTAAATATTTTATGATTGGAAGTTTGAATTAGTAACACAGATTGTTAGTGGCTGTATCCTCGAGGGGGGTTAAAGTACTGTAAAATTATTGTCCTCCTGAGAGGGTACGTAAGTCCCAAAACATTCAAAGTAAATTTCAACTTTCCGTTTTTTAATCGTAGAATATGTGTAATTTTAATGTATGGCTAGATATATCTCAATTGCTAACAGCTGAGGGGATGATGTAAATCCAGCTAGGGACCATGCAGGAAGCAAATGTACTGTAAGTCCCCATGGTCCCTAGTATGGTGATCTACCTTCAGTTGTTAGCGATCTATAGCCCATTTTTATATTGTGTTGTCCCCTATAGTTAAAATCTTTTAGATTCAATTACTAGTTTTACATATATATCTGTATTCTTTTGTCGGCAGGTTTTCTAATCTCTATATATATTCTTTTTCAATGTCAAGTGTTCTCGTCACGATATGGCTGAAATATTGCCGATGTGACGTTAAATAATAACTCACTCACTCACTCACAACGGGCATGACATATCGTAAGGTGTCAAACAGCAATGGCACTAATGTTCGTTTTAGCAGACTGATTCCACATTTAACCCTTAATCCAGCCATACCAAGGAACAAATGTATATCAGTAGACTATGCTTAGAACTAACTGTGCCCGTTAACACAGAATCCAATGAATTATGATTTTACTTCTCATCGTTGTTTACTAGAAAACTCTTCACGATCACCTGGGTTCATTGAAACGGATTCTCTGAAGTATGTGGGTTAGTATCTAAAAAAAGAATCAAAATTCTCATCTAAGAAACACAATTTTGGTAAAAGCAAACTAAATGTATTTCCCGAACACAGGATAGGACCGGGCCCATAAGAAGTCAACTTCGTGGTCCATATCCACTGTACCAATTGCCAGCGGCTGAAGGGATGGTGTAAATCCAGCTAGTGTCCATGCAGGTAGCAAAGGCATTGTAAGTCCCCATGGTCCCCCTTATGGTGATCTACCTTCTGTTGTTGGTGGTCTATTGCCCATCTTTATACTGTATTGTCCTAATTTGAAATCCAGTTTTAGAGAGAGATGCTAGTTTTGTTTCTTGATACTGTGATAGTCTAGTTGTTTTACTGTCCTTTGTTGACAGGTGTTTATAGTTTACTTTTAATTATTATAAATCTATAACTTGATTTAGGCTGAAATATTGCCGATGTGACTTAAATCATAACTCACTCACTCCATATCAACTTCTCCAGAGGAATCATTCTAAATTTCGATTTGGCTGGTTAGTATCGACATTTTGTAAAAAATGGAAATGCTACCAGAGCAGGGAAACAGAGACTTCAGATTATTTCACCATCTGGTTTCTGTGCCTTATCTCTTCCTTTTGATTTGCATTTAAACGGTAACTAGAAGGCTCTAACAGTTTTGTACCAACTGAGTGATGCGTTTTGCAAGTCGCTGTCTTGCAAAATGCCACACACAAGCTAGATTGCTTCTATTTAAGTGGAAAATCAAAGAGAAATATTTGTAAAAAGTCCATTTTATTTTTCTAAACGAATATCCAGTACATAATGATATATTCAACTGGATGATGTCTGATACGGTGCGGAGTGGTCCTATGTGCAACTGGATAATGTTCTCTAAGGTATTAATTCATAACATTTTTCTATGGGAATCTCTGCATTTGTACAGACAAGACGTATTCCAAATCATAGATATATTCTTTAAGTTTTAACAACATTTGCAACTGAAACATCACATGACTGTGCCGCCTGATATTCGTGCTGCTGTCATGAAACTGATATTTAATTGTAAAACAATTACAAACGTATTCACTTCTGACTTCATCTGATTGGCTCAAGGTCTGCCATTGGTTGTAAGACCAATGGCTCTGAGTGCCTCCAGTATTTGTTCGGTAGGAGGGACTTCTTCAGTTTCTGAAAAGTATTAATGTGAGTTCAGTTCAAACAAATATTTTTTCATAAATGTATGTAACATTTTTTGTTACTGATGGGCATTGATCAAATGTTGCATAACAGATAATGTAGCATATTAGCAGGTGCTCGTTCAGTTATTTAGAATAGTCGCATTGTTGTTTTCTCCAAATGTTGCAATATATCGCTCCACCTAGGATACAGTCAACTAATCAAAGCATTTTTACTGGCATCTAACACGTACAGCACTATCATTTTAACGAATACATAGGCTCATCTGCTGGTCTTTACGTTCAACGTGTGTTTACCTCCTTCGTGGTTGCCCCTGGAGTGTTGTAGACCGTCCAGATGAAAACCGTCACCAGTGGGATGAGTGTTGAAAAGGATATGAGCCACCCAAGTGATGTGGCCCATGTGGGGTAGATGTAGTCATTGTACTTCGGTGGTCGGTATGAGTAGAAGGAGTAGCAGCAGATCACCTGGAAGAGTTGGTATACCTCCGTTTTGGTGTACCGATTACTTGCCCTTTAACCTTGTCATAGGTGTTTACTAAATGAAACTCGTTGGGTCATCTCCAAATATTCAGTTTCGTCATATGACAGGTACTTAAATGGCAATGGTGCTGTCTAACAAGTCTTACTGAGAAAGCATCGAAGGTCTGTTGTGAAGGAAAATTTTAGTTACTTACAACTAGAAACAGAGGACACACAAACTTGAAACCAATGACCATGACCCGAGGTATCGCCCGTCCCCACATCGTATGGACGTCCTCCTGAAGTCTCTTTGTTCCTGGAGGGAAAGCTATCACATGATACGATGCACATTATTTTTATCGCAAACATACCTATTTTGCAAAAGGTCGCTTTGAACAGCTCATCAGTCATAGTATGTTAGTGTATATGGGTGTCTGGTGGCCATGCTTGATTCTGGTCAAATACTTGGTGGTGTGTGGTCCTGTGCATAGAGCTCAGGTCACAAATCAGTTGAAGTTGAGTCTTTGGATGGGTCACCGTGTTTGGCACTCCTGAGAGTTTCTCGGATTTCAGTCCTGCACCACACTGAAGAACGTGTGATGCACGTGGTCTCACCTAAGGCAAGTGCGTTTGTTCAAAATTGCCTCTGTTCACCCAGCAGAAAATGGGTACCCGGTGGGATAAATCATATGACCTTCAAGCGCCTCATAGGCAGCTTGGGTTATCGGGAGTAATAATAATCAGATGGGCGCTTTCAGTATCCATATATTTGTGCGCTTTGAGCAGGATATAAAGCCTGGAAAGGCGCGTAATAAATATTCTACGTTGTAATTGTTAAATATTTTTCTCGACGCATAGTAAACAATGTGTGTGTAACGGACAAGCTAGAAAGGCACTAACGGGTCTAATGAACTATTCTTTGTCCTGGCCACGTTTTGTATATTTTAGTCATAATGCATATAACAAACTGCGGTTATGACAAACTAAAATAGTGGTCCATTTGAGTTCCTTATAACCGTAGTTTAAAGACTCTAATTTAGCTTTCAAAAATAGTGTGCACTTTTTGTGAAATAAACACCTTGTCTTGTCACGGTCTGTTTCACATAAAACTTTTTTGTGCGATCTGACATCGCTGGCTCACAGAAGATGCAACTGCAGAAGGTGTGTTTTTATCCTTTGTATTCCTTTCTCCAAATTTAAACCGTTCTATAACAGACTAATCAGGACATGCGGTTTTGAATAGCTGCCTTTCGGTGATATAAGACTTAAGACATTTTAAGGCATCAGTCAACAAAGTTCAGGCACTCTTACCATAACACCAACCCACAGCAAGACACTCAAGGATGCAAAACACGGTCGTTGATGGGAAGTAGGCGTACCAGTCCATCAGCGTCACGAGGAATATCCCACCCTTAAATAAGTGGATTACACACAGATTGCAAGACTTAAAGTAAGAACAACAATCCGACAAGAAGAGCTACTGCTACACTGTCGTAAGCCATACGTCATGGCGTCACAGGCCTTGAGTAACGAAACAATTTATGAAAGAGGCTTCTCTATCCAAGGATAAAATCACACCTATGTTTTATTTACACTATACTGATTCCTTCTCAACAAACCCCACGCCGCAACCATTCAGTCGTTGCATAAACATAAGCATATGGTTAGTTCTTCTTTAACGTCTTTATGTATGGTTCCCTTTTCAGATAATCAACTTAACATTGGCCATTGGCTCGAAACGGGATATCCTTCAGTAAGTCAGTTATTTTCAATATTCCGATAGCCTTGCTTGACAAACGTAAGACAATCATTATTGTAAAATTTGTAGAATAAAGGCAATACCAAACACGTCATCATTTTTTTCACAGAAAGGGAATAATTGTAAATACCAAGTTAAAAATATTTCAGTAAAACTGTGAGTGAGTGAGTGAGTTAAGATTTTAAGTCACATATGCATTATTAGAGCCATATCGTGACTACAAACAAGTTATAATTTTACAATGAATAAAGGTAAATTATAAAAACCTGTCAGCAAAAGACAGTAAAACAACTAGAATATCCCACATTTCAACTAGTAATTAACACTAAAATACTTTAACTATAGAGGACAACACAATATAAAAACAGGCTATGTGTTGCCAACAACTGAAGTTAGGTAACCATGCCAGGGACCATGGCAGTAAAACTGTGTTAATATATTATAAGTTGTTCACTGGTCACGAGGGGGGCATCGGTTGATGTACCCTCGATGTTTGTTTATGTTATGTAAACAAACATCGAGGGTACATCAACCCATGGGCCCCAAGGGACCAGTGAACAACGTATTTATCTTACCGAACACCTTAATGTTAATTTTGAATTGTTTGAAGCACGGGTACAAATCTTTTTGTAGCCATCGCTAGATTTTGCTGACAAGAAAAACAGATTTAGAGTTATCTCCCTTCCATCAATTTGCATTCGCAAAACATCGGTAATTTCCGTACATCATATACGTGATTCAGTGTGATTCGAGATAAAGAATTACTACCACGAAGTACCAAATGAGTTGCCATTGACAGCGGGGTACATTGAAATGTTACTCGCTTGTAAGCGGGGTACATTGAAAATAATAAAAGAGCACTCAGCCAATCAGAAAGCGACATTTATGTGTGAGGTAAGATAGATAAATATGGAAGCGATACGAATATTGTACATAACGTAGCTGTACGCGTCTCATAAAGTATTTGGGTGGGTTATTCTGAAAACCCCAATCAAGAGAGTTTTCGGAAGTTTACAAGTAAATTGTTGCGAGTCAAACCTCAAAAGTGCCAATGTGAAGATGAAAGGGTGAAACCAGAACTATATGAATACGTCATGCTCACTTGACTACCAGACTTAATGAACGCGTTCACAGTTACTTGTGAAATATATACTAGAACAAAACGGTGAGTTACCTGTGAAACATATATCAGACCAAACAGGAAGAGGCTGAGGAGCACAGCACTGAGAGTGAGCAGGTGTCGCTTCATCAAGATGGGAAACATATCCTCCAAGGCAGCGACGACTATTTTAACACATGGCACCTGCAGAGATACACAAGTATCAGAGGTTTGTGGTAAACGCCTCTTTGAATAGTTAGGGCGTCTTGACAACATGATCACGTGAGGAGAACCATCAACGTGGTGCTTTCATGTGCCGCATTGGGTGCTGTCCAGTCCTGTATCGTACTTTCAATCCATTTCTACCACAACACAAAGCTTCGAGTCCTTACTGTAGAAATGTATGACGTTATAACGGTAGTGTGTATTTCATATCAGAAAGGTCGATTCAAAGATAGGTAGACACACGTTTTATATCCTACATTAACAACCTTGAGACCAATATCCTAATATTGGATAATGAAGTTTTTGTATTCAAATTGGATAATGATTCTGATTGTGCTTTGCATATTTAAAACATTGTACTTTTGGGGGGAAGTTTTGTGTTTATGCATTTGTATCTTATGGCCGATCTCGTAAAGTGTCATTTGTGAAAACACTAAAATGTTAAAAGATATCACGAACAGAATGTCTTCAGGGTCGTAGCATTCAACAGCATCATATTGTTTTGTAATGGAGGGGAAATAGTATCAGCCGTGATTACACTTAATCCAACTGATTATGAGAAAATCACACTTCCTATTTACCATTGAATCGAACGACAATAACATCAATGTTAGGAAAGTCAGCACAGACCATAGCTGTGGCAGAGGGAGGCTCGACATGACTTCGGGATAGACGATGAAGGCAAGATCAAACACTGAAACACAAAATATATTATGGCATCAATATATAGCTGCATCCAAATTGATGTTAAATGTTTTGTTTTAGGTAGGAAAGCTTTGTAAACGAATACCAAATATATGCACGTGTTTGTGCGATTTTCGTCTAATGACACAATATTCCAGCTGGTGTTGGCTGTAAATGATCAGGTCCGGACAACACAATCCTGTGATTGACATAATTGTGACAATTAGAGCCGTTTCTTAACGATCACATACAATCTGATGACCCGTGAAGATCCGGGTTAGAATTGATCTTCAGCAGCCCTAGCCTTGCTTGTAAGAGGCGGCGACTAGCGGGATCGGGTGGTGAGGCTCGCTGACTTAGTTGACACATGTCATCGTATCCCAATTGCGTAGATCGATGTTCATGCTGTTGATCACTGGATTGTTGGTCAAGACTCGATTATTTACCGACCGCCGCCACATAGCTGGAATATTACCGAGTTAAACAACAAACCAACCACAATCTGACATGACGAACCTGGCCAACCGATCCACGAAGACGACTCTTACGGAATCCCCTAAGGGAGTTTAATCATGGGTACAGAGCTGATAGATGTATTAATTTGAATCTTCAATTACTGTGCGAGATAGAGTGCTATTGGGCAGGATAGCATTGATCGCTGGAGATAATACGAACGTGAGCTAGACATTTAGAATTTAATAAAATCTAACAAACATAACAATGGTCCCGAAAACCAAACTTTTCACACATCACTGACATTCGAACCAACAAACCATGGATCTTGAAAGCCGAAAACGGGAGTAATAAGTAATGCTGTTTTAATCCGAGGGCGGTATTGTTGTGTGCAATCATGGTAATACTGGTATCAAACCAAGAGTCAAAATCTGCCCTGGCCTAGGATTCAAATCCACGATAGTAAGATGCTGACACAGGGACGAACCTATTCACTGGATGACCTAAACCGTATACTTCTTTATGGCAATATCAATAGTCATCATCTTACCAGATGATTGAAAGGTATCCAAGGTTACCCCACGTTTAAAGGCCACGTGACCAACGATAGCGAAGAAAGCGAATCCGAAGAACACGTTGGTGAGAGAATCGACCAGACAAATTATTATCGCATCCCTTGAAGAAACAATACATGAACAAAGCATTATAACAAATGTAAAAATATTGAATGTAAAAGCTTTCAGATAATCACACATTTACTTGGTCTCTCAAATCTATTGTTTTCGCGATGACACTAAACCGCCGTATCTTATTGGTTAATATCTAAGATTATTATGACATTGGTTAAAGCTTCAGGACAAAAGCCAATCGTTATAGAAAATGCTTGTTGGCACTTTTTGTTTAAACAAGACAAGATGCAGATTAAAAATGCATGTTAGGCTCATTACAATATTCAAACTGTTGGTCCATTGAATAGAATAAGCGAGTTCTAACTTTTAGCTTTGAGGAGTATAGATAACGGAGCTGATGACAGACATACAATATACCTGAAACAGTTGTTATCCTGTCGGTTGTGTCCAGACAACGTGATGATACACCCCATGGCTATACCCATGGAAAACAGGGCCACGTTACACGACTGAATCCACACCTACAACCAAATGAACGTATATCATGTATGTATAGTATGACCAGAAATTATTGAGAATTTTAGGAATATGTTTAATTGGATTTCTAGTATAAACAACCTTGACCAGCTATCAAGTGCTTGGTTTCATT